AAGTAGAAAATCTTACTTAAGTCAAAAAAGACAAAGACTTTTTTGGACTTAAGTTTGACTTAAGTCAGATTTTCTACTTAAGTTTTTTTAAGAAACAGGCCCCAGCTTTACAACGTTTTCAAAGTGAAAAATTAGGTCTTTTTAGATTTATCAGTTTTTTGCGGAGAGAAATTTTCCGAGAAGACTTAACTGCAAAATTTCAAAAAATATATGAGAAGATGTAGAATTTCTGGTAAATCTTCTGATCATTTCAAAGTTCTTATGGAATTTGTTTTTGAAACAAGGTAAATATTTTTCTATTTTCAGTGTGTCGCAGTTTGACAACTCAGCACCCTTCAATATTTTGAATGGTGCTCAAATGCTATCACAGATTCAAATAGCAGGTTTTGTAGAGAACTCAATTCTCTACATATTAAGCTTAGCAGCAGTAAATAGAATATTCTATGTATTTCATATTGAAATGTGAAAAGAATACACTGTATCTTTGTTTATTTGCAGCACAGGGTATGCCATTTACTTTGGTTTTACCTAAAGCGTATGACGCAGGGTTCTCTTACTATTTTTATCAGTACGTTTTTAGCTTACGTTAGGCATCTAGCGTGCAGCGCTTTTTTATCTTTTCGTATACAACAACGTACAGATACAATTGGTGCATGAAGATCGTGCCAGAAATGAAAGAGAACGTTGTTTTACTTAAAATTGGGGATTCACCGCCGATAACCAATTTTTACACGCCGCCGCCGAAGGTGGAGAAAATTTTCAAAGTCTCGCACCGTCGCCGCCGAAGGCGGAGGAAATTTTCGTAGCCTCGCGCCACTGCCGCCTATGTAAAAAATTTCATTCGCCGCCGCCGAAAATTTTTTGTCGGCGCACATGTTTGAATATGCCTCCCGTTCCTTTCTTCTCAATTGAGATGGTGGTTGTTTAATTTATCCTGAAACAGACTATTCAGGTTCGGAAAAAAAAATACAGTTTATTCACTAAACTACGAAGAAACAAAAAATACATAAAAAAGTTAGAAACTAAAGATGTATACACCGACAAAGACAAATCGGATTTGTCATTGATCTCACGGTTCGTGAACTTATATATTAAAAGAGAAACGTAAAAAATAAACATCTGACCAACACACAAATATACATACACGTGTCTGACACAAAAAGGTTTATCGTAACACATCATTGAGTAGCTTACAAAACAAAGCTAAAAAAATAAAGAGATTCAATTTGTCATGTCACTTATTTCTATAGTCTTAATGATAAAAACAATGATGAATTATACTGAATAAAAATAAAAATAAATATGCAAAAAAGAATACACGATTAATGATATGAGCTAATAATAGCCATTCATTGTGTATATCACGTTCTTTAACTAATTGACTAAATTTGTGACGAATTGCTGCAACATGTTGAAGCATTGACGACATTGATCGAGTATTAAGATCGTTTGAAATTGACGATATTACGTCGGACTGATCGGAAACAGTTAATATAGGATTTAAAGGTTCCATTAAAGAATCTGTTGTATTATTATTATTATTATTATTATTATTATATTCATTCGATTCGTACTCACTAAAATAATAAATTTTCTGATTGAATGTACAATGGTTACATGTAAAACATGTCAAGAAAGATATCATTCCGTCACTTAAGTGAACATTAGATAAGTCTGAGACAATATATTTGTCGTTTAAAGTATTATATTCATCTTACATACTTTTCTCTATTTGCAATTAGAGTTGCGTATGATGAACGTTTAAGTCCAACTAGTTTTGTTAACCATCCAAATACAAACTAAAATATAAAATAAAAATTCAAATATACTTTTCTTTTTATACTTGACACATGATACCGTTCTTGTTTTTAATGATGGTCGTTGATAGCAATAGTGTTTATCAGATAAAAATCGAACAATAAGAGAAAAAACAATAGCTAATGCTGTTATTATCATATCATAAAATATTGTACGTCCTATAACAAAAGAAAAATATTAAAACTATGAAAAGTAACTGTTTGAAAGTTTTATTACCCATCCATCCCCAGTTGGAAGCTAATCGTTTAGGAATGTAACGTGCAAATATTGAAAATAATAATAATTGACCAAGAACAAGTAATGTTCCTAAAAGAGATAAAATAAATTTAATAGTGATCTAGAAAATAGATAAAAGATAAAAGTTAATGTATAACATACCGAATATAATTCGTTCATTTGCTTGTGCCGGTAATAGAAATATGGCTAAAGATAATAGTGCTAATAAAAAACCTGGCCAATTGATTAGATGTATAAAATAGCTAGATTGTCGATCTATATCTAATTGTATAACAATCATATCATATATTGCTCCACTACCTGGATACCATACATCTTGTTTTACTACTTTATGTGAAGCAAATGTATATTCACTTGGAGTTAAATTACTTTCATCAAGAATAAAGTCATCTGCTTGTGTAATTGATACTGCCGATGAATCATATACAAATGAACCTAACTGAAAATATCATGGCAAATAGGATTAAAATATAAGAATTACTAGATTATTCATTCTACAAAATTTACTTTGAATGAACATATTTGTTGATCAAATGGAAAACGTTGTAAATCAAAATCGCATGGTATCGTTAAAATAGCCAAATAATTAAATTCAAAACGACCAATCGATTGAACAAAAATAAAATTATTTTCTTCATTATCAACAGCGGAATGTCTAATAAAATAAAAAACAAGTCAAATTTTAACAGTCATATGAACAATAATTGACAGATTAACTTACTGGTTAACTAAAGATATTTTTGGCGTCCAGACGAGATGAGCTGGTACATGTATACCGGTTACATTAAAATAATTTAACGGATTCCACGATAACAGTGAAGCATTCCATGTCTGAAAAAATAAAATAGATTTGACAAATATGTGCGCTAGAAGACATATGTTTGTAATGCTATTTACCTGATTGATTCTTGCATGAATTTGTAAAAGAGAATCTTCCTCATTCTATAACAAAAAATATTAAACCATATAGAAAGTGAACGATGATAAGTTTTTGTCAATTGACCATCAATCGATTTTACATACTACTGATATTAATCGAACAAATGAAAATTCAATGGAAACATTAATTTTTTCTAATTCATTTTTCACTGGACGTAATGATGAACGTGATTGTTTAATCAATTGATCGTATAAAAGAATTTTACAATTGTAATAACCCGTACAATCTACATAAATAAATAAATAAATAAGATGAGAAAATTAATTAAGCATCATATTAATTTTTAATTATGTTCTTACTTGATGCAGCTTCCGACGGCTCACATTGAACATACGTTACACAAATCAATAAACATAAATATAAAACGAACAAATGCATCTAAAAAAGAACATGTAACAGATTAGACATTTGTTTTCTTCTTATTCACATACTATATGTTAACAAACAGACAGATTCTTTCTGAATTTAGTCAATAAGTTGTAGTGTATTTATCTAGAAACAATTATCAATGTTCAAGACACTCTAAAATTCATTCTAAAAACTCTGCTCTATGTTCAATTGTTGCTATTAGACGCCAATGAAAATGGAGTTATTTTGTTTTACACTCACATGAATTTTGTCTAAAAGTAATCTCTTTGTTCTTTTCTAGTTCTTACAGCTGTTATTTATTCTTCTTAATCGGATTTTTATATGCTGATTATTATTATTAATATAGAAAGTATGCATTTATCGTTTATGAAAATTTCTTTCCTCTTCTATTATATACAAGAATTCGTTACAGCAGGAAGACAGAAAAATTTGTAGAAGTAGTAAGTAGAAGAATTGAATTTTTTCTAGAAAATGTGTAATATGAACATGTATAAAAAAAAAAAAGAGAAAAAAACAAGGAAGGAAGAGAGAGCGGCAGAGAAAGAAAACCTAATAATCGTAAGTAATATTAATAATGAAATAAGAAAGAAAAATCAGAAGGACACACAGTTTTTCGTATGACTCCTATCTGATAGAGAAGAAAAAAACGAAGATATAGATATAATGTGAATAAATAACTAACAAGTTTTTTTATTTGTTTATAGAAAAAGGACATGTGAACAAAAGGTGTTTTCTGTAAAAAAAATATTGTTTTTCATTATAACTAACTAACGAACTTGAAAAGAGAGGTTTTTCTGAAGAAAAACAAATTCAATATTAATTTAATTGCTTAATGATGAGAGAGTATCTTCTCAATTGTTGCGGGAGAGTATGGAAAAGAAAGAAATATTAGTAATATGTTTAGAAAAACAAGTAGAAAAATATGTGACATCAAACAAAGTGCCTGAAGAAAAGGATAAAAGAAAACACCAGAAGTAAACAAACATTGTAAACATAGAATATAGGTTTCTAGTATGCTAAAATGATAGTATATGACGCAAAAGTAATTTTTAATCATTATTTTCTCATTTGATCGAGACTTGTTTCCGTACATTTTCAATGACAAAATTTTTGGTAAAATTTCATAGTAAACAAAAACGTGAAAAATAATATCTAGAGCTATTAAAAATATTCTTGCAACTGTGGCCCTCTATGGTTGTTTTTTTGCGTTGAAGAAGCCTAAGTTTATGGAGAATTATTGATTATTCCATCTAAAGGTGTTTGCAAGTCAAAGGACGTGGGCGGGTAAGTAAGGTTTTCGTTTCCCGCTGAATTCTAGCTTTTTCGATGTAAAACATATCAGAGTAATGTTAGGAACATATTCTACCACTTAGTTTTCTAAAATTTCGCCATGAAGTTTTTCGGTGCCTGGAGTCCCCCCTTAGGATTTTGGAAAAATTCTGCCAATCTTGACGAAACGACATGGATTATATGCGTTTTTTTATGCTGATCACGAATATCACCTTTGGAATGCGGACAAATAATGTCTTTTTGGGAAAAATCAATTTTTAATGCAAGGTGGTACATGGCTCTAGGCGGTATTTAGCCCATTATCGCTACCAGATCGTCGTCTACAGTTCTGAAAACCTATTAGGAATGTGTAAAGATGTTTACTCTTCTAGAATTTGTATCCAACAGGTTTTTAAGTTTTCGTAAAGTGTCCGAAAGTTTCAAGAAAGGACCAAAAATCATAACAAATTTAAGATTCATCTAAGTATTTTTGCTATTGTATTCTAAGGAAACCTGGAAACAACGTGAAAATATCGCATTAGGTACAATTTTTCATACTCTATCCACTCAGACTGTCGAAAGAGAAATAAAAGCTGTATAGTCAAAAACGAAAAAAATGAGGTTTTTGAGGGATTATGATTTACCATAACTACATGACTTTAGATTAATTTTCTATAAAGGTTCAAGCGCATATTGAATGCTTACTAACTGAACACGATTATATTCCATTTTAAACTGCTTTTTCGTTAACAAAGATTAGAACCATTGACTGATGATTCATTTAGAAATCCTCGTGAATCGTTTTCCGTGCTAAGATTTCACGCTACTCTGAATGTGAATTTTATTTATAATATATTGATGTTCTAAATACTATGAACAAAATATTGTTTATCGAACAAATAGGCTTCTAAAAAACATTTTAATTGACTATCAAACAACATGATGGACCATCTTTTGATATATTTAGTTTTATTCAAAAGTTGTATTGTGGATTGTGGAAAGAATATTTAATTTCTTTTTAGAATGTTTCGCGTGATCTTTAGTGTTTTGAATGTTTTCACATTTAAGTTCGATTGGAGAACAATTCTGCCATGCTCGTTTCGAACAAAAAACGTTTAGCCTTGAATGAAGGCTGTTGAATCTTATTTGCACTACAATGGCTTTTACATATCCAGTTGAAAAAACCAGACATAGAAAAACTAAGATATCATTAAACTTTTCGGTTTTATAATAGATCGTTCGAAATCACTTTTTCACTTGTCTCGCTTTTCTCTAAAACAAATAGATTACTGGAACTGTCGAGAAATTTATATAAAAGAAGATTATGTTCTAGATCAATTGGCTAAAGAACAAAACATTTACGTATCTTAACTTTTTAGTAGCTTTTGTTTAATATTATCGAAGATTCATCTGATATTTTTACTTTTTAATGATGTCGGTACATAAAACAAGTCAACAAATACTATTTTAAAAATTTCAGAGAGATTCGATGTCTAATGGTCGACTACGACGGACAGTTTTTGAAAAACACGCATGAAAAGATTTTTTGTTTTTACCTTTGAAAATGCTACAAGCTTTTGTCAAAGTTAAATAGTTCTTCAACATCCTGTATCAGGGGCTAGAAGTTGATTGAGCCATTAGTCATTCAGTTCTGCTTGTCGAACATAAAAAATTGTCAAAAAGTTGATAAAATAAATAAACCTAGTCCAGAGATGGATCAAACATACCTTCAATTCTGATGAGGAGTTTCGACTGTTTTGTGTTAGGGTGAGAGAAAAAATTTGAAGTTTGAGAAACAACAAAAATCTTTTGGCTAACACTCGCTGGTGGAAAAAGACGAAAAATTTTTAGGATGGAGAAATTACTACCTTTCCCCGCCTAACCTTGGCCACGCACAAGTCGTCCAGTTGCTGAAAATTTTCATATTACACATCAGTCGACGCGTAATCGTGCAGCAGATAAAAATAAAACAATAAAATTGTTAGAATAGGTCTATGTCGAGGATCCAGTTCTGAAAAGCGAAACAAAAATGACTCTTTTTTAATCGAATAAAAATGAAAAATTGTCCTGATTTTAGATATAAGTAAAAAAGCCTGACATTACTGTAGGAGAAGACTTCCCATGACGTACACCAATTCCCAAAGATCCACTAACTGAATAAACTAATTCATTACAACAACGAAAAATATGACGTCTTACTTTTTTTCCTATGACCTTTCGAACATTGTAGCAAATGGAGAAAATATATTACTAATTTGAAACTAAATTCTGAACATAGAACTTCGTTGTGGGTAAAAATAACTATATGCAATAGTGTTTTGTTATGTCAAGTGCAAGACTGATAGTTCCACGAAATTTGTTGACCAATTTTAATTCTCCTTACCATTATTTTCTAAGAAAATCTAAGAACTTAATGATTAATACGTATTCATTTTACTATAAATAAAAAACAATCTCACACAATGTAGATAAATAGATAAAAAGAGCAAAATACTTCGTAAAAAAGCCTTTTAAAAAGAAAAGGACTAAGATTTGAGCTTCCATTCAACAGTATTCATTCGTATGCTTTAAAAAGGACGGGTTTTTTATTTGTGCAATTTCTTATCAGACATATTATAATTGTCCACAATCTTGAATAATTATTCTTCTCGTCGGTGTTCCAGTTTCACTTCCGTAAGAATCAATCTGTTTCACAACATCCATTCCTTCAACAACATGTCCAAATACAACATGTTTACCATTTAACCATGGACAAGGAATTAATGTAATGAAAAATTGAGATGAGTTAGTATTTTCTCCTAAAAATATAATGTGCAGTTTTATGAAAGAGAACTGCTTCTGTACCGAATCGACAATAGAAAATATGAAAAAAGATCGAAAAATTTAAAGTAGAGATGCTGTTGAACCATGTCTTCTCATCTAAATCTGAATAGTCAACTAATCTTTGTTAATCTATTATATCTAGTACAGCTTAAAATTTGTGTCTATAACGGGTGGGCCATAAAGAATGTCGGTCTCAGTATTTCGTTAATATATCGCTCAGTTTTCATTGTCAAGGCTTTAATTCTGTTTTAAAAAGATTCGTCGTTTCATTCTCTACAAAAAACCTATTGATTATTTGTTTATATACCGCAGAAATAAAGGAATATAGGTGAAATACTGTGAAGCTCCAATTTTCATTACTTTCTAACCCAAAAAACTTTTTTTTCAATTCTAGCTCTTTGTATTTTGCGATACAGAATAAGAAAAGATGAACGTTTTGTAGCCCTTGAAAAGCTCTACCAATTGGCTATGTTTAAAACTCTTCACAATCGTAATTCGTTGTGGGAGAAATTTTTGCTTATATCGATTTTATCAAAAATTGCCGTTTTCAAACTTCAGTTTTCACGGCATTTGCGAAAATTTTTATAAATCGGCTAAAATCAAATATTTTGAGATCCGGTATGTCATATCTTAAAGCAGATTAACTCTTCTGTTACATCCGAACAGAGGAAGTTCGATAGCTCCATTTCATTTCCACTGACAAGGCGAAAAGGTGGAAATTTTCCATTTTTTTGGTAGACTGTAGTCAAATTGCATTTTATACCCAAAAAACATGTTTAAAGACAACCTCTGATACATGACAAGAAAGACGACACTTCATGCCACCAGCACATACGTTTGGATTCTACTTTGTTGCATAGTTTCATGTTCAAAATAAATATCTTTTCGTTGTGTTTTGGGTTAGAAAGTAATGAAAATTGAAGCTTCGCAGTTATCTTCCTTTATTTCTACAGTATATAAAAATGTTCAATCCATGTTTTTTGTAGAGAATGAACCGACGAATCTTTTTTAAAAAAAAGTTAAAGACTTGTCAATGAAAACTGAGCGAAATATTAACGAAATACCGAGACCAACATGGCCCACCCGTTAGTGATGGTTTAAAGGTTTGTTCACGACAAAGCTAAAGAAGCTTTTTACCTGAATTCGCCATTGCTAATAATCCTGGGTGAGTAAATTTTCGATTAAAGTTTTCATCGTCAAATTTTTTACCGTATATACTTTTACCACCCGTACCTAAAATGAATACAATCTCTCAAAACAATATTCGCATACAATTTTAATAAAAAATCATTAGCTTACCATTATAATTTGTAAAATCACCTCCTTGACAAAAATATCCATTAATAACCCTATGAAATATTGAACTTTTATAGCCGTAACCTTTGTCCATAGTTGTCAACGAACGAAAATTTTCAGCTGTTTTCGGACATTCATTATCAAATAATTCAAACACAATCCGACCTAACGATGAACTATCAGCATAAACGTCAAAATATACACGCGAATTAGTCATGTAGCTTGTCTAAAAGTAAAAAGAAAATAATCCAAATATTCGTATGTTTATATAATACAAAAGTACAGTTAAAAGTCGACCTATCTATTCAGTTGTGGGTTGCTGATCATCATACGTTAGTCTTGATTTAATTTGAAGAAGTTGATTAGTATTTTTAGCTAAATTCAACGGTCATCTTCTAGTTTGACTACTCACAAAAAGAATTCCACAAATTCTTTCTATTATGAACAACAAACAATGAATCGACGATTTTTCAGTAGTGTCTTCGGCTGAATAAAAACAATATCAATGACAAACATATACAAAATGAATAAATAATTAGGAGAAGAAAGACGAGAAAACAAAACGTTATATTAAGAGCATACGCAAATATTGAAGAAAAAAAATGATCAATATAATAAATTGCAAAGTGAACCTGTGGCGGTTGTACAATAAGACAGTGTTCTAATTTTAAGATTAATTAATAATTGTTTTCACTAAAAACAAAAATATTCGTATGTCAACAACAATCATTGATTTTTTGAAATAAAAAATCAATGATTGTTGTTGACATACGAATATTATCTTTCTTGAATTATTTTACAACAAATAATACTGATATGGTTTTCTCTATATTACTTGTTTCTTCACTATCTGACAAAAAAAAATTAATTTTTTTCTAAACTGAATCTAGCAGTTTTTCGCCACGATCACATGGCTAATAGCATTTTTACTTTTATAGCTAATTCAATATATTTAATACTGGGTAAATCAATTTCTAATTCTTGTTGAAGTTCGGTATTGTTTACTATCTGCACATAAATAATCACACATTACATTTAAATTTAACTTAAGTTCTCAATTTCTGATTTCTTGCACTACAGATCATTCCATACAGTTAATCAGCATTCACAATGTAGTGATATCATGAATCAGAGATCCGCTCAGACTGAAAATTGCCGGTCCAATCGTTTCTAAAATTGTTTTGGTCTGTCCCGATCGAGCTTAGAAGAATCGTATGTATATTTCTCAGAAAACTCCACCACTTGCTAGACACAAGGTACCTTATAATGTACTACTAATTAGATTAGACTGCTTTTTATGTTATGTTACCCAAGAAACACTTTTGACCCGACCGCTCTTAAATATTGTCTAGTCTAGTCCGTGCGGATCTCTGTCATGATTATAATAATTAGAAGATAAAAATAAATATCCAATAAAAAGCAATTTTTTAGTCATCACTTTTTTCTCTTACTATCTGAAACAGAGAAATAAGAGTGGTAAAACAAAAAAGTAATATTTAAAATATCTCAAACAAGCTTTGGGATTGAGAACTTTTTGTTTGCACCAGAGTCCGAAACGAGCTAAGAAAAGAAGATTTCGATTCGGTTCAACTGAACATTTTCATAATCTGAATCGGCTGACTCAATCAATGAAAGCTGAAGCTTTTCTTTCTTTGTTTTCCAACGTTACTTCATAAGAGGCTGTCTCAAGTTAGTGCACTTGAACAGAACATGTCATTTAATCGACAAGAATTCTCAGACATGAATCAAAGCAAAACAAACAAAAATAAGAATACTAACAAGAGAAATCTTGTTTACAAGGTTCATTTTCATTTATTATATTCGATTTCACGTTAAAATACTACATTGTTAATCGTCGAAGAGTCTCAGCTTGAGCAATGCTAGAGATAAAAATCAAGTTCGGCTCGATTTGAATCGAGCCAAATCATTTGACTCGTTTGATTCAAACTTCAATTTAACACTTAACAAAAACTTTCAGCACAAAGAAATGTTTACAGTTTCTTGTTTTCTTGAAGTTTACATACGTTTAATCTTTTCACAGAAAAATATCTCCATATCAAAACAAAAAATTAATTGTAAAACATCTACAATTATTACACTAAATGACAAATGCACTATCTGACGTTAGAAGGGTTTAAATCTTTGCCAATATCCATCAACATCGTAGATGATGTTGTTAAAGTTTGTTTTCGTTTTTCTTCATGGTAGATTTTTCTTAATGTTTTAAATGCTTCTAAATTTGCGTAGGGCATTTGAGTCAATGGGTCAAAATACTGTGCGGGTAAATTTGTTACAGGACATAGACGACGTCGTCGAACGTGAGGAGGACGATCATTATTATCATGAAATTGTGATGCCTTTTGTAGTCGAGGAAAACTTTCGTTGTATGTGTTCAAATGTGTAAATGAAAGAAGTTGACGAGAATAGCGGTGTGGTTGGTTTGAATCACTGGTCAAACTAAAAAAAAGAGAATAATACCATAACGACTGTATTTCACAAAAAGATGGGAAATAAATGCTTTAAATATGATTTACTTTTACCTTTGATCATTGACCATTCCATAGGTTTCTGTATGTGGATGTTCTGTCACTGTTACTGAGCTAATACAAAGTCTTGGACATTCTTGAATCATTTTCATGCGTTTTATTTCTTTCTTTTTCATTTCAATTTGTTGATAAGCCTCTGGAACAGAAAAACAACTGCACATAGCCAATCGTGAGAAAAGAATTGATTTAAGTGAGTAAGACATTGGTCAGTGATTTCGTTAGTCTACAGTTTCAACAGAAGATCGCTAAGCAAAGTAGTGAGGCTTCAATTTTCAATACATAATTGACCAAACTTACAAATACGCTTCTAATAGCATACCTAATGATGCCAAATTTATTTCTTCAGTCAGTTTTGCTTCTTCTAATAATTCTTCCTGTGTCAAACGTCTCACTTCATCTGTATTACGTTGTGCTGCTACATTTTTTAAATATTTTTGTCGTTCTTCGCGTTCACGTTGACGTTTTTCCAATTCAACCCGTTTCACACTCGTCGATTTTCTTAACGTTTTCGCTTCTGGAATAAAACAAGAAAAATTACTGGATCCCCTCGTTAATATATCTTTTAGGTACCGGTCACAGGAGCAACTCGACGCAATCTCTGTCCTCTTGACTCTTGCTCGGTACTGTTATCATCGGGTGCAGTTGTTGTTGATTGTTGCTGTTGTTTCTTTGACACTTTTCCCTTAAAGCAAAAGAAAACATTAGATGGTATGATCGCATGCAAAAGCCACTTTGATCTGGTCTGTTGAATACTTCTTCCTGCTAACGGGTTTTCTCCTCAAACAGTATTTATCTTTTTGGGCTACGTCCACTGACTCAAATCATCTCTCAGAATCCGTCATTTGTTGTTCGTTTTTATTGTCGTCTAAACGAGCTCTCACTAATGTTCTCTTTCCTAAATGTTAACTCTCAGTCATTTTCCAGTGTTCTTAGTCTGTATGTTTATTTATTTCTCTTTTTCATTCCAATCTTCGTTCATAAAGTCGTACAGTTCTCTTCATCTGTTTAAAAACAAAAACCACATTTGTTTTTATACCTAAGTGTTCAGTTGGACTGACAATGACGTATTTACTTACCTCTTGTAAGCATTGTGCTTGATAAATAATTTTTTTTCTTTTTGCTGGCCGTTTTCCATCCTCATCAAAATCATCATCGTCTTCCTTCTTCTCATTTTCTACAGTCGAATTCTGATTATCACCATCTTCTTGTTGTTGATGATTATCAGTTTCTTCGTTATCGAAATCCGAATCTACGACGTCATCTTCCGATTCTTCAGATCTATAATCGTTGTCTTCTTCTTCATCGAGAAAACCACCATAGGCTGAGCCATAGAATTCATCTTCTTGATCATCCTGTTGTTCTAATAAACGTTGTAAACGATTTCCAGCATTTTGACGCTTATCTCGATCAGTCACTAAACTCATCTAGAAAAGCAATAGCGTTCTCAAAATTGTAAATGAGATCACAAACGATTCAGACCTAACCATTCATGAAATAATGTGAGATATTCACACGCTTCTTCCACAGTTCATTCGGTACCGTATATATAATACATCTTTTAGTAAGATAGCTATACTAACTACGAACCAGATTAAACGCAATGCGCAGAAAATTATTTAGTTTTGAGTTTTCGTTCTGTCGCAATTAGGTATAACTAAAAGGTTAATGGTTTAGTTGTTATGGTGAAGACAAGATCTTCACGGATTTTTTATCAATACTGAGAATTTCACACTAGAACATTGCGCTATCATTTTTAGGGTATGTGACTGAAGAAAAACGAAACTTAACTGGTCCACAAAGGATAACTGAATCTAAGGGCACTTATGCACTATAGCAGCGTTACAAGACAAAGCAGTTCACCTTATTATCTCATACTAGTATGATTAATTTAAATTTTAGCACACACGTTTTGAGGTTCAGTTCGTAGAACAGATTTTGTAGAAGTAGCTAATAATTAAATAATGATTCGGTGGAGCGAATTCGAATTCGAACTCGAAACCGTTTACTTTGAGAACACGACGAATGGAAAAAGAGCTAGATGAACTTTGTTTCTCGTATCTCAAAGTTTGTCAAAATGCATCTCTGTCACTGTCATTATCAAGCTGTCTTTTTGATTTCGATCGTCTTCTAGGGTTTACAGAGCTCTCAAATCGTGTTCATCGTTTGATGAGATTTTAATATCATCTTTATTTGGAGATTTAATGCAGTTTGTGTTTTAACCGTAACAACACGGTTATAGGAATGGATTGGTCCGGTTACTTTTTTCTTACTTGACTTTGCTAATTTTATGAATTAATAAGGAAATGATGCTCCAGTAGCTCCAGCAATAGTTTACTGCTTATAGAAATACTACAGCAATTCACTGCATTTTTTTTTAAACTTTTATGTAGTAAGAGTAATTTTTACAACCCGAAGCTGTTTTTGTTCTTTTGAAATGTAAAAAGCCTATCGGACATGCGTGATTCTTTAAAGCAGAAAAGAAGTTCAAGCTTTAAAACTTATCGAGATAACAGAACTTCATTCTAAATGTTTTCGTTTGTTTCGGATCTTAGGTTCCTGTTTTGTACTTATTCATATTCAAATGTCGACAATATCTCGTTCTAAAACAACAACAATCGCTCCTCCAGTTACCACTCCGGTAGCAATAACCGACACATCAGTCGTTCAAAATACAACACAAGATGAGGAACAATGTGGTCCAACACCCATAGGAAAAATTGAAAAATCATGTGGTATTACTAATTCTGATATTAAAAAATTACAAGAAGCGGGCTTTTGTACGGTTGAATCAATTGCTTTTGCACCGCGGAAGAGTTTATTGGCAGTCAAAGGAATTAGTGACACCAAAGCGGATAAACTTGTGGTAAGAAATAGGTAACCCTGTCTCATAATAAATTAATAGCAACAAGAACGTGTCTTTATCTCTTTTGCAGGCAGAAGCAGCTAAAGTAGTTCCAATGGGTTTCACAACAGCTACCGAATATCATCAAAAACGTTCGGAAATAATTCAGTTAACAACTGGTTCAAAAGAATTAGATAAACTATTGCAAGGTGGATTTGAAACTGGTTCAATAACAGAAATGTATGGAGAATATCGATGTGGAAAAACTCAACTTTGCCATCAATTAGCTGTCACGTGTCAAGTAAGTAAGATGTTTTATATTCTAAGATCGTCAACATTAGTGCAGCAAAATGTAAGCGACACAGCAATTAAAAACTAGTTTGTTATTGTGCTACGCAGAAGTTGCAATGTCGACAGCCTCCCACAGTTCTGTACAAAAAAAATTAGAGAATTTTTGACAAATTGTTTTCAGCAGAAAGACAGATATTGAAAAATGCTTGTCATTCTCAAGCTTACAACGTAAAATTCGTTTTTTTCCATAACAGTGGCACCGGACAACAAAGATATGAAAATTTTCTAAGTTTTTGACATATTTCTCCTCTATTTCGGACCTTATATCTCTGCATCCAAGTCATTTTTAAAAAAACGAACATTCAGTTGTCAATCAGTAGCGTCCAGAATACTTTCTCCCGTCTTCAAATCTTTTCTTCGTTGGGTAATTCTCTAGATCCCGTTGTGAACATGTCGCAAAAAAAAGACTAAAGTAAAAAGGCCAAAATTCCCGTAAAAATTCATAATGTCTGTCGACACAAAAAGCACAGGCTCCAGTTTTGTCGGGAAAAATCTAGTTTGATATTAATGTCTTTTAGCTACCAATTGATATGGGTGGTGGTGAAGGAAAAGCAATTTATATTGATACCGAAGGAACATTTCGTCCAGAGAGATTGTTAGCTATTGCTGAAAGGTTTGCTGAAAATTATAGATAAAGACAATTATTTTTCTATATTTGTGAATTTGCTTCGTTTAGATATGGTTTATCTGGACAAGACGTTTTGGATAATATTGCCTATGCAAGAGCATATAATACTGATCATCAATTACAATTATTGTATATGGCATCGGCAATGATGTGTGAATCAAGGTAGCAATATCGGAGAAAAAATATATATTTTCGATGAATGATGAGTTTTTTGTGTTTGTTAGATATGCTGTGGTTATTGTCGATAGTGCAACATCGTTGTTTCGTACAGATTATTCTGGTCGAGGCGAATTAGCTGCGAGACAGACACAATTAGCTAAATTTTTGCGAATGTTATTGAGAATAACTGATGAAGTAAATATTAGTGAACATATGATGCTGAAACTATTTAATTTGTTTGAATATAGTTTGGCGTTGCTGTAATATTAACCAATCAAGTTGTTGCAACAGTCGATGGAAATGCAATGTATGGAGATCAGAAGAAACCAATCGGTGGAAATATAATGGCACATGCATCAACAACAAGGTAAGAGTTTATCGCTCTATCGTTTTTCTCCAACTACCTTAAACCATTTCTTGTTGTTTCGGTTGTTTTAGACTTTATTTGAAAAAAGGCAAAGGAGATACAAGATTGTGTCATGTTGCCGATAGTCCTTGTCTACCAGAATCCGATGCGATATTCGCTATTGGTCCCGAAGGTGTTATCGATGCTGCACCGAAAGATTTATAAAATATATTTTTTTGTTACCTTCTGTTTTCTCAATCAAGTTTCTCAAACGTTTGCTAATATTTATGAACTCGACTGGTTTGTTTTACTCGATCACTTTTTTTTCTTTACGTTTGTATCTATTGTATAGATTAATTCACAATGTTTATTTTTTCTTATTTTCTTCTTACTGTTGCTCTTTGTCAATAAAAATGATATTAAAAGTGAAAAAGCCAAGTTTAAATTAAATTGTACAAGGTCCCTGGAATAACAGATGGCGACGGACGTATCACCGATAGAAAAATAAAATTCATCTAAAGTCACGAAATAGTGCTTTTTCTTATTCAGCACACTTGATAACCCAGTAGATTTTTTTGCAAGGAGTACTTCCAAAAGTTTAAGAAAAATTTTGAAACTAATATTAATTTCCCATAGAAATTGTTTTCACCATTTTGAAAATTTTTCCTAAAGTTTTGGTAGTACCTCTTGCCAAAAATAGAAAATCTATTGGATTATCCAGTGTACTGAATACGAAAAGGCACTTTTTCGCGACTCTAAATAAACTTTATTTTTTCTTCACGTTGATATGATCGAGCGGAAATAGCGTGATTAGAACTATCAATAAATGGATGTCTCGAACGTTTATGAGAACTCAAATTCCGAATTAAGTAATCGTAAAAATTGCAAAAATAATAAAAAGTTTGAACACAATATATATTTGATCTTGTTTCCATTCATGAAACGAGATCAATTGATTTCATTCTGCAGTTCGTATTGTTTTATTCCTTTGAGAGTACAGATCTCTAAATAAACGTTCCAGCACGATGACATTTAGAAACTAAAAGAACTCTTTAACTTTAATGACAAAAATGAAAAGAAGATCTGAAATGGCATAGTTCCAACCATTAAACTACTGATATCCTACAATGTTCTTTAAATTATTTATGTCATTGCAAAATATTCAACGCTTGAAACAATCGTGTATCACTGTGCCCTCTTAAATCTTAGTGACATCTTCCATACTTTCGGTAGAAGTACGTTCCTACTATCGGATAAGGTCTCTTGTTAATAATGGGTGAATACGCCATAAAATAAATTAATAGAATTGAATTCTTTATTTGTACTGCCTCTACACATTCGTCCATGTAGAAAATATGGCGTTGCCACTTCAGTCATGACATCATATCCTTTCTAGTTTTCGTTGATTCATCATTATTCTATTTGTTCATCTAAAGCGGACATCAAAACGAGTCATTTGATTAAATTCTACTGAAATAAATTCAAAAATTTTTAACAATTATACTTAGCATAGAAGTTTATTCCAGATTAGCAATAGATCTTTCTGAACGTTAGGGAAATTTCAGTTGAAGTAAGTGGTATTACATATTTCTTTCAATACATGACGTCATCGGCATCTACAAAATAGTACTTTCTTCATTCTGACTGCTCGTAAAGAAATTTCTTTTATTAGTTCATTGAAGCTTGACACCATTAAAGGGTAGCGCATTGGAACTTAGTTTTTGTAAGCATTCGAACGATACAGAAAGCATTTATGACTTAAAAATGTCGCAAAATAGAAAAAAAAGTAAACTCTTGTGCTACTTTAGCCCTTTTTTCTTTTGCAGACGTCTGAGCAGATGCTATTTTTATCATGTGGCCGATAAATGAACTTCTGCAATATAGAACGTATTGTAATATATTGTCTCTTCGTATCTTTTTAGGATATCTCAGCAATGCCAGCCGAATTTCGTTCGGATTTGATACCAACACCGATTTCATTACCGGTATCCTGTATAGATTACTCGGAAGCACGTGAGATTCTAGATTTAACAACGTCTAAACAGAAACGATTACGCCGTCAACGTCAAAATAATTTGCGAACACATTTATTATTAAAACGGACATATACACTTGTATGTGATGTATTATGTTCAGACTGTTGTTCAGAAGTAAATAGTTTTCCTAGAAAAACTGTCTCTAAATATTCTTCTTCTGATTCTATTTCATCCAGTTCTATTCCTATACCATTTTCCACACAACATAGTAATATACCCACAGTAAAACGTAAATATGAAGATGATGACACATTGACAAAATCACAACAACAAGACCAACAATGCATAAAAATATTAAGGTTATCTCAACCTTGTAGTAGCGAGAATAATAATAGTGAACAAATGGATATACAAACAACAATCGTGGATTTTTTAACCGAACTTAAAAATGTTAAAATTCAGCAAAGGTATTGATTAGTGAAGTATTTATAGGTTTTCTACTTTGTCTGTACATTCATCACCCATATTTAGAACAATGTCAAATATGAGAATGAACAATGCTGTTGATGGAATTTCTGTTTGTTAAAAAAAGGAAAAATCGTAAGTTAGACTAGCCAATAATTGTCTTTTTTTTATATCCGGCGATAACAGTACTGTTTTCTTCCATATGTGACTCTAAATAGTGTGAGTGCTTTCATTTTGTTTTTTTCGTTTTTTATTTGTTAGAAGATATTGTTATTTTGTAACTACAATGAAATAAAAATCTATTTATATATGCAACTTTTGTGCTAAACATGTGATTATCAATTTTAGTTTCACAATTCCGTAGATGGTTATATCACGACGAAATTTATTTAACGAGAAAAAAAAAGTGCAGATAAGATTTAAACGGTGTAAGCAAAACAACTTTATCAAGACAATGGTTTTCTGACTATTGCATGGATTTGATAATTTTGTTTTTATCTTCTAACTATACCTGTTTCTAGAACAGACATTCAGTGATCTATATATACAATTTCATTACATTATGTTGGAATGTCCTTCGTGGTTTTAAATTACTATTTACTGATGTAAGTTAAAATAAATAAGCGATAATAATATTTCATTCACAATAGAGAAACACTAGTCATGATTCATCTTCCAGTCTAATAGTCTTTTTTGTTATGTTTTTAGTGCATTTTAATAACAGATAAGGTGCTAGTAATTCAGAGTTTCCACAAGTTTTATTGTTCGTTTTAACACACATATTCGGATTCGTCGTGAGTTGCTGATCACGAATCTGACCTTTTTTTCGATTTACATAAAGTCTTCAGGGAGAAAAATGCAAAATA